ACCAAAAGTAGGTAAAGCGGGTCAAAGTAATTTTCATTTACCTGTGTGCAGTTCGTATGGAATTTTCCACTAGCTTTTTAAACAATTAAAGTAAGTTAGTTGTACCCAACAGTAGGTAAATATGATTATACCCAACGTTGGGTGGTTTTGCTCCTTCTTTTTTGACAACATTAGAAGGAGAAAATGAGACAAACTAGTCAAAAGTAGGTAAAAGTGAACTGGCCGTTGGGTACTTTATTCTTGCCGTGCAGAGTCCGTGTATGCCACGCCAAGAGAAAAACAGTTGAACTCGCATCATGGTTTTAAAAAGATTCCCTTTCTACCAACTTGGCAACAGAGGACTTCTACATCAACTTCAAATGACTTCTAGCGAGCAAAAAAAATAGCGGCTGTTGTAAATCATTATATCAGTGATTTTGTCTAATCATCTTAACAAAAAATAGTAGAAATTCTCATTACTGATCGTTACCAAACGTATCCCATGACAATTTAATGCTCACTGCGTGTTTATGATCATTTCTTCGATTATATTTTATATTTTATTGCAATACCTTTCGTGGACCTTTCATAGCATCGTAATGTTTGTTTACTTTGCACGATAGGTATACAAGGGGGGAAGGTGGCTGTCAAATACGAACAATCGTCGCCTACCTTGCATAACTGGTTCCAAACGTAAACAAGCCTACAGCGTTTGTTTACGTTTTGAACCAGTTTCATACAAGAATGATCAGTAGGCTGATTTGACAGCACGCCCCCCCCCCCCAGTAGGTATACCCAAGGTGAATACGTATAGGTGTTCTCATGTGTCAAATTCATGATTCAGCCATGTTGGATTTTTGTATGGGACAGCGACTGAGTTTATTTACAATTTGCTCTAAAACCGCATGTGAAATTCCACATGATTTTCATGTGACCACACATAAACAGAATCCACCGAGAAGCACACATGAAATTTATGAGTCGAATGAATAGTATGTGTGGTTACACATATGGCTTTTATGTGTACACATATTAGTATGTGTCCGGCACATATATATCATTAAATGATTATTGATCACATTGTTGCAAAAATTCATGTGTGGGACACATAAAAACAATCTTTGAAATTTTATCAGTGTACGCAGTCAAACCAACAATCAATACGAAACTAACGATTTTAAATTGGCTCACTACTTGACTAGCCTATTGGTCCCAAGCAAATCGATTAACGTATCCTATTCTACTATAAATTCCAGTACTACACTATGTTTGTTTTGATTCGCTATGAAAGTTTGACAGATAAAATGAGGGGTGATTTGATTTTCCTATGTTTCGAGGGGTGAATCGATTAGCTTGGGACCGAAGATAGTACCAGAGCTGAGCCAAAAAGTTGAGCACGTTTCTTCTGGACCTACTAGTCTTAGAGTTACCTCTATGGTCAAACCATAGAGGTAACTCTAAGACTAGAAGGTCCCGAAATAACGTGCTCAACTTTTTGGCTCAGCTCTGGTACTCTCTTCGGTCCCAAACTAATCGATTTACCCCTCGAAACATAGAAAAATCCACTAGCCCCTCATTTTATCTGTCAAACTTTCATAGCAAATCAAAACAAACATTGTGTAGTACTAGAATTTCGACTAGAATGGGGTACGTTAATCGTTTGCTTGGGACCAATAGGCTAGTCAAGTAGTGAGCCAATTTAAAATCGTTAGTTTCGTATTGATTGCTGGTCAAACCACGTACCACTGAACAATTCGTTTGAGGTTAACTCCGACGGTGCAAAACCTTATAGCAACAATCAATACGAAACTAACGATTTTAAATCGTAAAATGACAAAATGATACACTCTTTGCACACTGTCAATGATCATATTGCACACAAAATCAACTATGTTCAAATCAAAACAAAAATACTAGCCCATCTGGTGGCTGATGGCACAAGCTTCTAAGAAAATTCTATTGATTTGAATTGATTTCTTCGCCAGTTAGTCGTCTGTCACTTCGTTTGTGGTAATATTGTTAGCAAAATCGATGTACATCGTACAATGTGATATTACACAACCGATGGATTTACTTGGATGCAGCAGTTTCGATGTAATATTCAACTCCTTTTTTTTGCTGTGTAGCGGAGAGCACACGGAAAAAAAAGTTGTTGAATATTACATCCAAACAGCTGCACAGAAGTCATTCCGCTGGTGGTGTAATATTACGTTGTACCGATTACCGATTTTGCGAACTAAATTACATCCATTGATGTAATATTGTATCTGATTTTTGCTATTACATCATTATTTCATACATCTGCTTGAATTACGTTGATCGATATCACATTTTTTTTTGCTGTGCATGCAAACGGGAAACAACGTTCAGAAGCAGCAGCAGCGATCACGATTCGGATTTAATGAAAATGAGCAGTGTTGGCAAAATCAGAAATCAATTGATATTTTTCCGCTCTTATGCGCTCGCAATATCACGCGTGATATTGGAACAAAATATCATGCTTGATATTGATTTTACAAGCTCCTTTGATATTGCGAGACTATTCACAATGTGCAAACATCAAGCTGAGAGTTGACTCGACACAAAAATGATTCCATTGCACATCGTTTTCTTAGAAAGAGAAAGCATAGTTCGCTATCTCTTTTTAATCTACACCGATGGCAGACGCGAAGAGACTGCTGCAAGCCGTTATGGAAGTTTCGGTTGCATTCGGGTGTAAAGCAAAAATCATTAAACTCAATCTCACCACAGTTTGGTGAGATTCGAGGTGAGATTTGCAGTTGGTGAGTTTTGTTAGCTTGATATTCCGAGCTGCGATATCACAGCTTGCAAAATCAACCACAGTTGTTTGCTTGTTGATTTTTGTCTACGAAAATCATGCGTGATCTTGGGCGTTGGTGAGATTTGATTTTTTGATATTTTCCCAACACTGAAAATGAGGAACAAATTCGGGAAAGAAAGAAGTTGCGTGCACGGGAGAAGATCGCTTTGTCACCACTTCGATCGCCACCCAGGAAAATCCTATAATAATATGCATTTTTTTATCTTTTTTTTGTACCAAAATTGGTATTCCATGTTACTCGGCTCCGCTGAGTTATTTTTTTTTAACATTTGAGCCTGCCAAATAAACGAAATGAAAAAAAAATAAATTGCAAGTAACACTGACAGATTCTCTTCGTCATTGTTCTTTCTCTTTGCATCCCCACGGCCATGTAAGGACATTCCCAGGTATTTTCAGCACACAGATTGATAAAAGAAGCTTTTATCTACACGGATAGAAATCTCCTTATACTTTTTGGCAAATTTCCATTGCTGATTATTTATAAATTGTTTAAGTCAACTAATAAGCAGACGCCATGCAAAAAGTTAATAAAGATCATGTGTCAAATGAAATGTATAAGCGGTCACACATACCTTTTATGCATTCTAATATGACCTATGTGGTTTGTCTTATGGAATGTATAAGGCTGATGCTTTGGCAAAAATGTATAAGTGAAACACATGAATTAAATAATTGATTTTCGTTTCGTGTAGCATCTAATACGACAAACACATCAAGAAACGGTTCTATGCTCAAGTTATTAATGAAAGAGAAAGTCGACGAAGAAAATCGATCAATGTCATTCAGGACCTAATTCAATGTCCAGCTTGAAATACTATAAATGTTTACAACTTAAAATTAAGTCTTTTGTGCTCATCTTGACACCTAAGTGAAACCAGTCAAAATTGAGTTCTTTGCGAAAAATCCAAATTTGAGTATTTTGCAAAGACTTCGTTTTGAGTAGAATTTAACTGTTTCAGGAAGAGTGAATGTTGGATAAAAACTACACAAAACCGGGTTTTCATTATAGAAATTTAGTTGAAAAGGGGATTTATCAGTTGTTTTCTATATTTGTGATGAGTACTAAAAATCAATGTTACACACTTAATCTAGCTCGGTAAAATCTCCAACAGCCGATTACTTCGGCATTTACTTTTGCTGATATCTCTGCAAAATATCTGTTTGTTAGCTGATATCTCAGCAAAATTTTATTTGTTAGCTGAGTCTCGGCAATTGTTTGACTGAATCTCAGCTAAATAAATTGCAGAATTACTCAGCTGTTGGAATCTCGGCGAAAACTTTTAAGTGTGTATGTTCGGCCTTATTTATCTCAATTACAATAAAATCTATCCACATATTGTCCCTGAATAAGCAATAAATCACATCCTACTAAATCCATCGTATTGAGTTGGTTGACCGGGTAAAATTCCAAACTTCTCCATTTTCGTTGGATGCACTGTCGGCTCCCGATTCCGGTTGGTACACTCGAGGAAACGTAGCAGACCCATAAATTCAGCCTGATTGATCAGTATTTGTGGAAAAAATAAAAAAAAAGAAGCAAAAATTAATCGTCCTGAAAACAGGATCGAAAAAAAAAATATCATTACCTTCATTTATCCGCTGCCTTTGGATCCTGGTTATATTCCTAAAGGCCCAAGCGCAATGACGGCGGAAGCGGAACGGCAACGGCAGTGGAAAAGCCCGATCTGAGTAAGCCTCTGCTTGTCGGATTGAAAACTAGTTAGATCCAAATCGACTTCGGTTAGGCATCTTGATGTCATTAGTGACAACTGTCAAACTTTCCGTTTCCGTTCCGCTTGCGCCCACATTGCGTTTGGGCCTTAACAGTGGAGTCATCGGTGGCTGGTGGTGGCAACTTTGCCCACAAGATACGTTTTGGCCCGCACCTAAAAAGGAATTATGTTAATTCGAGGATAATCACGGCCACTAAGTAACTTTTTTGGTTATACTGCAAGATTAAGTTAAAAGTGCTCATCAATGAGAACAGATATGTATCCAAAACAGTAGTGTTAGAGAAATACTAATTTTTAAGTACTTTCAATCTCGATTTTGAGTTGTTTCGTTTGTCCGTGTAACCATAATTCGCCTGATGCCATCAAAAGCGAAAACCGTGCGGCGAAAACCCCGCGAATTTACACACTGACAGATCGTGTTTCGCATCGCACGCACGGATCGGATCGCTGTTCTAAACAAATCAACGTGGTTCGGTTCGCAGTAGCTTCTACATTTTTGTTAAAGGTTTTTCAATATAGGTAGTTAAGTTCGTGCAAACATCGCCAATTAAAATATGGCTAGTGAAAGCAGTAGTGACTCCGATGTAGAGAAATCTTCGCCAAAACAGGAACAACCGAAAAAACGCAAACGTCTGCAAGACTATTTGGATGAGAAAGCAGCTCGTGAGACGGCTGAACGCGCTGAACAGGAACTGAGAAAGCGAAGGAAACAAGGACTGGATGACGATGAAGAGGCTGAGGAGGTCAGCTATCCGGTAATCAATCCGTTGAATTTTATTAAAAACAAGGAAATCAAGCATAAGCAATTTAGAAGGCAACAAGGGACCAAGAAAAAGCAAGAAAAGGCCTCCAGGAAGGCAAGAAAGTTAGAAGGTGGTCCCAAGACAGCTGGACATACGATCGAAAGCTTGCGGGAAAAAGATCAAACTTCATTGGCCAATGCTACCGAAGATGATACTGAAGAGATCGCGAACGATTTGGAGAATGATGAATTCAACGAATATTACAAAAAAACCTACGAACCAAAAGTGCTGATTACATACAACGCAACACCTCATTCGCGAACCCGAAAGTTTGGAGCAGAACTGGAGAGGATACTTCCTAACTCGATGGTCCATTCGAGAAATAAGGCAGCACTGAAAAATGTATGCAAGAGTGCTATTCGTGAGGAGTTTACGGACTTGGTCGTTATCAATGAAAACAACAAGCAACCGGAAGGATTGTTGGTAATCCATTTGCCGGACGGGCCTACAGCTCACTTCAAAGTGAGTAACTTCAAATCGCTGAAAGACATGAAGAAGAAACCATCGAACATTACCAGTCACCGTCCGGAAGTAATATTGACCAACTTTTCCACTCGTCTGGGACTGACGATTGGCAGGATGCTGGGTGCACTGTTCCATTACGAGCCGGAATTCATAGGACGGCGGGTTGCAACGTTCCACAACCAGCGAGACTACATCTTTTTCCGCCATCATATGTACGAGTTCGACAAGAACGGAAAACGGGTCAAGCTGCGTGAGTTGGGACCGCGCTTCACGCTGAAGCTCCGTTCACTGCAGCAGGGATTATTCGACAGCAAATGTGGTGATTACGAGTGGATGATCACCAACAAGCGACACCAGATGGAAAGCAGAAGACGTTTCTTTCTGTGAGCAGCGGCAGTTCGTTATCCTTTTCTTTATTTGCTGATAAATATATTGTAAGTATGATAATCGTTGTCATGTTTGTTTTTAGAATATCACATTTCACTTTCTATGCGCTCTATATTATATATAGGTAAAATTCATGGGAAAGCAACCATAAATTTCCAGCATTTTGAAAGTAATTCTCTACTGATAGATTTTTCCTATTTATAGGTATAAGGTGTGCATAAACACTCAAAGTTACTAGAGTTATGGACATGACATTCTTTCAAAGACTCGCTCGCATAATTGTCGCATGACCTTGTCCTTGAACACTACTAATAAGGTGTCGTTCTAGAGTTCACTAGTATATGATGGTCCCTATATCAGCAGTTCTCAAACTTGTGTCGATTGTGACCCACTTTGAGAAATTTCATAAGCTTGCGACTCTCCAATATTGAAAATGTGCGGCCAAAATTACATTAAAATTTCACAAATAGCTCCATAACGCCATAAAAAATCCTAAAAACTGCATGATTGCATGAAACTCAATAACATAACTCAATAAATGCATTGATATGGCTTTAGAACCTCAAATTAGCAACAACAAAATGTCAAACATAAATAACTAAAACACCAAATCAGGTTAGGTCGTTAAGATGTTTCTGAGGCGAAAAAAAATCTCTGATCACGTGAAGGGAAGTGAAGCTGTTGATCCCGGCCCATGTATTGATGGGTGCGATAGCTACCCAGGTGTGTAAGCCACCTCCCTGACATTTGATTGCAGTCAAATGAGTATTAATTAAAATATTAAAGAGTAGAGTATGAAGGATGAAATCTTAAAAACTGTTTAAAGTTGAAAAGTTTTAAAAGAACAAAATCTTGAATCTAGGATTGAAGATCATCAATGAGCAATCAGCAATTGACAGCAGGAATAGGACTGACCCGCAAATGGTAGATGGACTCAAGATCTGTCCAAAAATAGGTCATGCGAATTGCACAGTTAGTGGGCAAAAGCAGCGCGGGGAGGAGGAAGGTAGAAAAACTCGATTGTGCTTGGTGTTATATTTGAATACATTGGAAACGAAACTCAAAGCAAGATACAGTGAACTCTCTACAACTCGATATTCAAGGGACCATCGAGTTATATAATATTTTGTTTTTTTTTCCTTTGGTTTGTTTTTTCCGTCGATCTTGTTTTCCGTGCTGAACACCAATGCTACCGACGTGCCAGGAAGGCAGCTCCCACAGCTGGACCCTACCTATCGACCCATCAACTCATGAACCGGGGACCAACGGCTTTACTTCCCATCCGAAGGAAGGCGTGATCAGAGATGTTATGCCTCAGAACATCCCGGCGGCGCCGACTGGGATTGAACCCAGGCCTGCTGGGGTGAGAGGTAATCACGCTTACCACTACACCACCGGCGCCGTTATGAGTTATATAATAATAATCCCATACAAAATAGCTATCACAGTAGCCATGAAATTAATGTTTACTATGGTTCTATAAATCGATATCGAGTTAGTGGACACCGAGTTGTGGAGCGTTGAGAGAGTAGTTCTTATTAGTGGGATTTTTTTTTTTTTATATCTTTATTAAGGAGACTTTCAGCCGTTGGCTGGCTCGTCTCCGACAATATTAGTGGGATTCGTAGTTTTGTGTATTTGTAGACAATGCTGGTAGAGGAAACATTCCGTTACCTGTTGTCATTAATTTTCATGAGTGAGCCTCGGAGTGAGCTTTTATTCGCGAGAAATCAATTACTAAAGCATGTTAAAATGGCCCTTGACCAAAAAAAATGGACCCAGAGATGATGGCTAGTACCCTCTCGGCCTGGGAGAACTTTCACCTAACGCAATTCTTATCTGGTACGATTACTTCAGGAAGTACCTACATTATTTTGAACACTGGCCGGAGTGTGGTAACTTGGAGGAAACACCGGAACACGTGGTCTTTGAGATTTCCCCCTTTGAATCCTAACTTTTTCTGCTGTTGCTGTGGCGAGTAGCTACCTGTAATGTAATGATTTTATACAGCCATTTATATGTTGGGGTCATATATGACTTCAACGGGATTCAAAGGTTTAAGTCAGTTCGAAGCGAGATGGTTGCCCTTAACGAAGTAATCATCCACAAGGAGAATGTTCTCTTGGGCCTCCCTTAGCTCAGTCGGTAAAGGCGAAGCTACAAAGCAAGACCATGCTGGAGGTGACTGGGTTCGATTCCCGGTCCGGTCTAGGAATTTTTCGGGTTGGAAAATTTTTCGACTCCCTGGGCATAGAATATGATCGTACTTGCCACACAATTATACTAATGCAAAAATGGTAGCAGGCATCGAAAGCTTTCAATTAATAACTGTGGAAGTGCATCTAGAACACTAAGTTTAGAGCACGCAATAAGCTAATATGCCATAAGCAATAAGCTTGAAATGCGAAGAGGAAGGAAGAAGGAGAATGTTCTACAAGAAATGAGTGGATACGAGGGCACTTGGGATGTCAACAGAACTGTAACGCAAATATTGTCAGAGCTGTAGTAACTGTCGTTACACGCATTCATGTTTTAGGCAATCCTTATGGACCGCAGGATATTTATGCGTATAACGGCAGTATAATGAAGGTGGATGTGGCGTTGACGGCGACTCTGTAGCTCTTTACTCCTATGAAAAAATCCAAAAGCAAACGTCAGACTGTGCGTGAAACATGGCGGACTTCGTACTATCCTTTCACTCCATCGAATATTCCCATAAAGTGTCAATCTGTGCTAAAAGAGACAATTTTTCGACGGTGCCGTTAACGCCAATTGGCGATTGGCGAATCCCGCTTTCTATTTTATATGTTTGCAAACCTAATTACAGAAAAGAAAACCTTGCAGAAGGCAGCCTTTAAAATGTGTAAGCACGTCACGTAATTTGTAGGCTTAATCTGAGCGTTATTAAAGACAAGTTACCTTTTTACTGTTTATTATTTTCCATAAAAGTATAAATATTCTCATCTGCAAAACAATCACTTTTGGTAATCGCAGGACCATTCCGATAATAGTGGTGATAAAACAAGAAAATAGCTAGGTCAATTTTGGGAAGCAACAGACAAAAAATAGCACACTTAACTCTGTAGGATACCCCGTACCGTTCATACCCTACCAGGGATGACAGGAAATTTGATCGCTATTTGCGTAACATAATGCGTAATGCGGTTCAGAAATCTAACACGAATCGCTAAATGAAACTAAAACCCACCGGTAATTTGAAAATTCGAGCGAAACAATTAGCTTGTAGCGCACTGGTTAGGATCGCTAAAAGCAGTTGGATCAATGGTGGGCAAATTCATATTTCCAGGTGCTATATCACCGACGAGGTCGGCTGGCGGTTGTCCTAGATCCTGCATACTCTGCATCATATCCAGCACAGTTTGGAACCGTACCCGCTTCTCATCGGCCGAATCTTCTGGTTTTTCCTTCTCCAATTCACGACACACATCTTCCATCAATTTGAGTTGCTTTTCGTAACGTTCTTTGTCTTCTTTTGGAATCTTTTCACCATTCTCCTGCAACCAGCCGGGATATTTCTCGGTTAGATCCTTCAAGCTCGGCAGTAGTACCTCGGCTGATAGCAAACTCTGCATCATCGTTTGCATGAATGGCAAAAATGCATTGTTTTCGCCACCTTCATTCAGATCGATGTTGCCGAACATTCCGGCGATATCCTCTGGACTGAATGGGGTCTGCAGGTTCTCACTGCCTTCGCTCAATCCACGCAAGGCATCGGTAATACTTTGACTGACCGTCGGATCTACCGTTTCCGTTGATGGATTAGTTGCTTCCCCTCGAACGGCCATAGCCGCTGCTTCTGCGATTCGCTGGAACCCTAAGGTGATCTGTTCTGCATCCACTTCTCCACTACCGCCTCCGAACAAAGCTGCCATCTTTTCCTCGAACATTTTAGCCTGGGAACTGTTCAATATCATTAGTTCCTACTTCAGTTCATATCTAAAAAAAATAGACCTACGTAATAAATTCTTCATTCCACAGTTGCTCCGTAGGCGGGTCATCATGCTGCGCATCTGTATTGCCGGATGCTTTTCCGTCTCCTTCTTTGTGTTTGCTGAAATCTTCCAGTGCACCTACGCAGCAAATAAGCAGCAATTTGATGTATCATTAGTTATGTGATATTAGGATAAAAAGAACCATTATATAATAATTTGTACTTACTGTCTAGCAGGTCGTCAAGTTCTTTGTCGCCGGAACTGCTTCCAGCCGCATCTGGCTTTTTGTTGCTCTCTGACATCTTTTCCTGTTTGAACTTTGAACCGATTGAACTGTTAGTCGAGCTTTACCTAATAGTGCCTTTTCGGTATTAGACTTGTCACTCTCAAGTGCTGTGTGTGCGGTGCCTCTTGCGTTGCAAGAGAAGAGAAATAAATTGTAAGTGAAATTATCGCACACACGTCGTTAGTAACCACCACTAGCAGAAGCAGAAGAAACTAACCGAGCGATAGATTTTATTTAGTAAAATTGACAGATCAGGTGACATTTTGACGTAAACATATTGAACGAGTATGGGTTTGGAACAAGTGACAAAGCATTATGCCCAAACAGAAGTTTTCGTCAAAAATAGACAGTACCCCCCGCTAATCCGACAACACCATTCTTTCAACCGCTGGAAACTAACGATTTTAAATTGGTTCCCTACTTGACTACACAGCAAAAAAATGTAACATCGATCAATGTAATTCAAGCTGATGTATGAAATAATGATGTAATAGCAAGAAGCAGATACGATATTACATCAATGGATGTAATTTTGTTCGCAAACTCGATGTACATCGCACAACGTTATATTACACAACCGATGGATTGACCTGGTTGCAGCAGTTTGGATGTAATATTCAACAACTTTTTTTTCTGTGTAGCCTATTGGCGTTGACGGCACCGCCGTAAAATCGTCCCTTCTAGCAAATATTGACAGTTTCTTATGGGAATTTTCAGTGGAGTGAAAGGATAGTATCAACAATCAATACGAAACTAACGATTTTAAATTGGCTCACCACTTTAGTAGCCTATTGGTCCCAAGCAAACGATTAACGTACCCTATTCTAGTTGAAATTCTATTACTACACTATGTTTGTTTTGATTCGCTATGAAAGTTTGACAGATAACATCAGGGGTGTGTGGATTCATGCAGAACATGCAGGGGTGAGTGAAATAGCTTGGGACTGCTTGGGACCGTTGTTCTGGTACTGAGTGAGCCAAAAATAATAATGATTTTCTTCGGGCCCCAGTGGTCTTAGAGTTACCTCTATGATAGTATGAAGTCCGCGCACAGTCTGACGTTTGCTTATGGATTTTACCTGAGTACTGCGAACTCAGCCGATTTTATTTTTCAAGTGAGCTATAAAACATCTTGAACATCTTCCGAAGTTTCAAATTGTTTGGCTGAAACAGCTCACGATTTTGTATATACATGCTGTCAAATGAACTTTTGGCTTTTCCTCCTCTGCTCCAGAAATAACGTATACATGGTGATGGGAGTGCACCTGGCCCACAAAGCTCAAATGACTCTTATAAAGTTTGATTACATTCTTGTTTCAGCCCAGTTTTGGCATTATTAATATCAAATAAAAACACGTTTTCGAGCTTCACGCTCGATGATTTACATTATCCGCCTACTAAGGTTGATGTTTCGACAGTTTCATAATTATAATTCTTAATTTTTTTTTCAGTAGGTGGCCAACACCTTTTTACTTGTGGTTCAAACAGTAATACCCTTCGTGACTTCTCGCGTATCATTTGAAAAGGGCCTATGTCCAAAATGTAAACAATCCAGAAAATGAATTGTAAATTTTTCCGCCAGTATTTAATTCCTATATAAATAAATTGAAGTATTTTAGGCATTTATATTGTTCACAATAACAATAGTAACTATATCTCAGTACACAACATCCAAAACATGTGAAACGTTTTCAAAAATACATGAAAATGATAAAAATTTAATATCACAGTAATAAGCCTTTTTGTGAATCTTTAAATGGTTAAGCCCTTTTTGTTAAGCCGTTGTGCTTGTCATCATAAATTGTAGGCCCTTTGCTAAGCCTTTTCTTAACGTCAAATAAATCATCGGCCCTGCCTCAAGCAGTAGGGCCTAGCTTTGATTTGAAATTTTTCAATCATTGGCCCTTCTACGTCGCTAGGCTTATGAATGGAACCTCATCGAACGAAAAAAAATATATGTTAGACCCAAGGTTAGGCCGTTTTAGCATGAATGATTGGAAAAATTTCGTGGATCGGCCATTTTTAAAATCAAGTTATTTTTAATGATTTTTATCGATAATGCGGAACATTCCTATACGACTGGTAGCTAATTACCAGTGCTACAGAATGGTATCAAAAATCGGTTTGTTTACATTTTGATCATAGGCCCTATTCAAACGTTACGCGAGACTTCTGAGCTCTTTTGAATGTTTGGCTCCCGTTTGACAGTTTGACTCAGCTCCCAGATGACAAGCATTTTGAGTTAGTTCGCAGTACTCAGGATTTTACCATTGGAGTAAAGAGCTAAAGAGTCGCCGTCAACGCCAATGGATCATTGAAGATGCTGAGGTTTTGACAGCACCGTACTGTGGCTACCACAGTATTTTACATTGGTTCGTCCGTATACAGTAGCGCCAAATGAAAGCTGTGGTGGGTTCAAAACTCAGCCATCTAAAATGATCCATTGGTCCGAAACACATCTATAACCGAGTCTATAACAGAGATGCCAGATTTACAGACATGTCTGTGAATTTACAGACTTTTATTTTTCACAGACATTTTTTTCGTTACAGACATTTACACACTTTTTAGTTTTCTCACAGATATTTACATACTTTTATAATCAAGGGGAACTTGTAAAATTTATTTGGTTACACTGTTTTACATCTTTAATCAAATTACACGTGCAATGCATTTTGAAACACGCATTAGAAACTCGCGCGTTTTCAAATCCACCACACGAACGAGCTTTCACAGGCTTTCACTGTTATAGAGATTGTTAAAGTGTGATTGTGTCAGTGATTTGTTTTCATCAGGAAAATTTTACGCTATGAAGTTTTTTTTCCGATGAAAACATTTTGCGTTTACGTGACGTAGTGTGCGTACGATAAACGTCAGCAATCTCAAAAACTTATAGAGCTTTTTGACGATTAATCGGCACACACCACTGCATAATCAAAATCGAACGAGTGCGAGCACAAGAGAAACAGATTAGTGGGAAAACAATGAATCAATTCATCCCCGTGTGCTAGATGGAGGAAGACGATTAATCGTCTACACTAGAGAGTGTCTATATTCTAGACCCTCTCTAGTCTATACCCACCATGGATTTTCCTACGTTTCGAGGGGTGCTTCAATTAGCTATAGGGAACGAAGGATGGTACTTCCTGAGCTAAAAGATTGAATCATTTCGGCGGAAAATATTGATTCTACCCTATTAAACTTTCGATAAATGTTTCGTCAAGTTACGTGGCATCGTCAGAAGGCAACTGACAGCTGTGACAACCAAAATATTACCGCTTTCATCTCCCCTCGCCCACAAACGGATTCAGTCGTGCTTGCAAAAGATCGAGGAGGGCCATCAAATTTGACACTGTTCTGTTTTCTTGTGCATGTCTGACGTGGAAATTGCAGAAAAATTGCCGTGAATTAAGTGCTTTTCTGCGTTAACTGCTTCCGAATTATGCTGTAAAAATTACTACGCTGTTCAGAGAGGATTAAGTGACATCGTTTAGCATAGCAGAAGGTAAGTTTCGCATCTAGCCAGGCATTTAAAAGACGATGAAAAGAATTTCTCTTTTCGTCCGTCCCAATCGTCGTCGTCTGGCGATCAATCTACGTCTGCAGCACAGTGATTGAGGGGTCCGAGAGGTTCCAAGTCATCGATGCGAACGAAGGCACGAAAATATAACGCGGAAAATAATTATATAGCTAAACATTTTTGTGTGTTTTTGTTTGATTACGCTGTTGCAGTTGTAATAGTTGCTGATAATGAATCCACAGATGACTTCGTACGGTCAGCCGCCCCAAGGGTGGCAACAACCGGGAATGGGTCAGATGCCTCCACCACCCGTCAATGGAGCTCCGCAAAGTGTAAGTATCTTGCTGACTCGTTTGATGGAAAAGGTTTTGCATACTTGTTGTAGTGTTGGCATATCAACTTTGGATGATGAGCATTTAGTTATGTGTCACAAGATATTCAAAATATGCAAACTTACATTATTTCAGTGACATACATGTAAACGAATATTGTATTTACAAATTCTACTTTTAGCTACCCAATCAATTTCAAAACATGTCAGTTGGCGGTCCTCCAAAACCCAATATGAACGGGCCACCGTTCCCTAATCAACAAATGGTTGGACGTCCCCCATCGGGTGCAGTACCCATGCCGGGAGCATTCCCACCAGGACCTCAGTCTCAACCGCCATTGCAAAATGGTCCTCCGTCTGCGGGAGTAAATAGACCACCGATGCAAAATTTTGGCCTACCCAATGGACATCAACAGCCATCGCCCAGTCAACCAGGAATGCCTCCTATGCCCCCGATGACATCTGGTCCGCTAGGAGCCATGCCTCCTCAGCTTCCACCTACTGCAGCAGGTCCTCCAAGACCGGGACAACCGATGCCTCCCATGGGGCAGCAAACATCATCGATACCGGGATTACCGCCTGCAGCATATCCTGTACAGCAACCTCAGCACTATCATCAACAACAACAACCACCCCAGTCGCTCCAACAACCACTCCAGCAAACACCAGCATCTCAATATCCACCACAACCTGGACATCCGCAGCAATTTCCCGGCCAACCCGGATATCCTCCGACGGCAGGTGGAATGCCACCAATGCAGCCAACCAGTGGTGGTGTAGTGGGTGTACCTCCTAACCAGTATCCTCCAGGTCCAGGAATGCCTCCAACAATGAATACGGGAATGCCTCCAATGCCGAACGCAGCAGCCCCCAACGTACAGGGCTATCCCCCTCAGCCGGGACAAATGGGGCAAATGCCGGGGGGACCGCATATGCCGCCACCGCATCCGCGTGGATACAATGTGAGTATAAAAGTGGCTGTAACTTGATTAATTTAATGGGCCATTAGTATGCCAATTCCCGTTCACTGTTTCCAAAAAGCTGCGATTTTTCAGATCTTAATTACGGAGTACGTATGTTTGATACGCGAAAATTGAAATGGGGGTAGCCCAAGGTAAAAATCTAGGAGCAATCAATTGCAATCCTGATATTAAACTCGGATTAGATGGTTTACCAGTAACGGTGGTAGATCACCTTTTCGTGGTGCGTTGCTGGGTATAAGATCTGCCATATCGAACTCTGGCCCTAAGCACTTCTTATTGACGGTAAGGTTCGAGCAGGGTTCTGTTGCATGGTCAAATATCAGTATCATCGCTTGTGTTTGTCGCTAAGAAGATCTATTTTGATTTGTGGGAAGGCGCGTATTTGGAGAGGTTACAGAATTTTTTAAATTATACAGCACATAATTAAATGAGGAGTCATAGGTAAGACCTATTTTGATTGACGAGAGGGCGTTTCTTTGGAAAGGTCACTGAACACTTCGATTAATGCGAAACAACACAACAGAATGAGCCTTTTGTGAGAAGAGCAAGTATTTATGATTTAACTGTACGAAAACGAATACCTCATTACCTTTCCATAGTACAAAAAGCACTAAATAAAGGAGACGGACGTATCACAAAATATCAATGTATTGGTTGCAGTTTGTCGTGTCCAGTTGTGATTAATGATTAGGCTCAGCCGTTTTACAAAAACTCTACAGAGTCAAATAACAAAGCTTATTCCACAATTTATCAGTATCTTCCAGAAGACGATATGCCCGTCCTGAGTCCGTAATATGTACTTCATATTGAGCCACTCGTTTTTCGGTTTCTTAAGAATCGATCGTTCCTTTTAATGGTTTCTGTCCCGTATGTCTACACTGTGTCTTCCGCTTCCAGCGACGTGGTGTCATCCAGAGTCAATGTTATAATTGGCAGATCAAAGTTGGCACTCGTGAAGAATAGAAGAACTATGAAATTTATAATGGTTTCACAATTTTCCATGGGGAGGTATACGAGTGCAATCTTAAAAAGCTTTTATTTTGCAAATGGAGCATTTTATTTAAATCAGTAAAAGCAGACCCCCTTCACTCTTTGGAATTTAAAGAGACGGATAACAGCGCCAAACGGTTTGCGACGAGACAACGTTGAACTGCAGCGTTGGAAGAAAATACACAAACTAACATCTATGCCTGTACAAACCCACACCACTGAGTGAACGGTACAACGCAATTCAAAACACGAAGCGGTGTCATCACTCATCGTCATCATTCACTTTCACAAATACCTTCCTATGTTATAAAAGAGGAAAGTTATCATTATTCCAACGTTATTTTTTAATAGAATGCGTGCTGTGTTCGAAAGGAAGACGGTATATTTTATTACTTTTTTAGCAATGATTTCGATACTGTTGCAGACGACCTCAGCAGTATGAAAGCTTTGGTCGAACCGGCCAACGCACAATGATCATCTCAACAATACCCTAGATTTCATCGTACAATCTTTATTCTCTTGCCATTTTCTTTCCTTAACTCCTGAACCCTTACTTGACGCATCCGCGTCTCCTAAATCTCACTAAGTTCTTCTTTCCTCTATCTTTCCACCCTTTTCTCTCATTTACTCACGATCTTCTCGTACATTTGTCTTGCTGCTTAGCCTCTGCACCCGAGCCTTCGTTCGGTCCGCATATCGTGGATGCTTTCACCGATGCGGACGCCTTACCCTGGCCTGGCGATAGACTGATCCACGCCGTCTGTGATCCACCGGTTAATTTGAGGCTGTAAAAACAAAAGCCCATAAGCGGTGCTTCATTACACTCGCTGTGGCACTGATGAATGCAGCGCGTAACTTACTCCTGTGTCGAAGGCTCTTGCTTGGCTCTTATGGCTCTCTCAATTCGCGGCGTGTGGGAGTTGATGCGCCTTATTTGGCCTCCGTCTCATCCGGATCGTGCTCGTTCTCGTTCGTCCGACTAATGGATTTGATGTTTTGTGGGTTCCATACATAACAATACGTTGCATATCCAGAGGGTGTTGGAATAATTCTTAAGAGAGAGGGCTTGTTTTTTCCATGATTACATATATGCTTATAAAGATTATTTTGAGCAACAGCTTCGCAAATCATCAAATACTATTAGAGATTTGTATCTTCCTGATACCGGTGACGGTATTGGACACTATTTCACTTGAAAGCAAAACATATTATAAGACCATCATGATGTGAGCGTGAATGTGTGATTGTTTTCTGTTGCGTAATGATTGAATAACGGAGCAATCACAAAAAAAAATAGAATCTAGTTATCACAATATAATGATGATGACATCTAAAATGATATTGTCGTCTTTCCTCAGCTGATCATCAACGGCCGCGCTGGCATTGTGGCATCTGTCATGCTGACACCTCTTAGGCTCTGAACCATTTGGTGGATTATTTTAGGCTCTGAACCATTTGGTAGATTATTTTAACTTTTGGTTAAAATTTGACAGATGGAAAGTTATCGATTAACCCTGCTATCCGAGCATGGTTATTTCTGACAGACAAGAAGTTAAATTTTGACAACCGTGGCTGAGTTCTTCTCGGAAACCGGTCGATGCACAGCACAGGGATTTTCGAACATCAAGAATAACTTTCGAAATGTCACTTTTAACCACGAGTTAAATTTAACTCGGCAAATGGTTCACAGCCTTACACTCTGAACCCTCGTCTGAACCATTTGGCGATTTTTTTAACTTTTGGTTAAAATTTGACAGATGGAAAGTTATCGATTAACCCTCCTATCCGGGCATAGTTATTTCTGACAGACAAAAAGTTTAATTTTTGACAACCGTGGCTCGAAAACCGGTCTATCGACAGCACGGGGATTTTCGAACATAGAAAATAATTTTCGAAATGTCACTTTTAACCACGGGTTAAATTTAACTCGGCAAATGGTTCACAGCCTTAATTAATTAGTCCTGGTGGTGAAGTTGGCGGGGGACTCCCAACATTTTCAATGTACACTCACCAAATGGCTCTGCGATCACACAAAGGTGATATATCCATTGCCTTATTTGAGGACTTGATCAGTGGGATATCTTGTTAATTAGATATCTTTGGTAATCTCCCTTAGTGAAATGTGCAAATCTCGATGAGCATTTCAAATGGCCCTATCTGCTTTGATTGATTCTTTTCGTCGACTTTCTCTTGTGATAATAACTGCTATGCAAACAGATTTCGCGCTAATTTTACCACATAGTTTAATTAAGGAGGTTCTTATCTAGCGACCATTATCCACGGTCCATACAAATTTTAAAAATTTTGTATGGACAATTGTCTACGCAGGGGGAGGGGGTCAAGAATACCAAAAAACTGTCTACGTAGTTTATAAACAGCCCCTAAGATGATTTCGGTGGTCCTAAAATGATGAATGGGCTGCACGTAAGGAGACGACACTTTGTCTTAAGTAACATTAGGGGGTCACCAAACGACGTATAATAACTATTGACTCAAAAACCAGTATTTTTTAGCATGAAAGCTAGCGATCTGCTTTGTATGATTAAAAGCCTGCTTAATATGTTAAACATTGCTATCACTATGAGATTATATCAAGAGCAAATTTTCATTATGTCGAAAGTAACATTAGCACCGATCCGAGAAAAATGAAGTTTTGTTTTGATGACCGAAAAGTTATTCCTATTTCCAATTAAACACTACCTATTGTTGGGCTGGGTTGTTACCATTTTTTGTAAGGTCCACTTCCAAAAAACCATTAAACCAAGGTTAAAACTTTATCACCCAATCGTTCATGTAAAGTTCCATAACCATTTCAGATAAAGTTTACCAGGGATTATAAACAATTCTTAACCATGTTTGGTAAGGTCAAGTAATTGTTCGTATTTATGTGGGTATGCTGTCCAATTTCGGATGATTTCCTTATGGTTGAATTCGTCATCAACTGATGAGCATCCATATGACTGTCCTCCAAATAAAAGGATGATATTTATTTGGAAATTGGCTGTAAAACAAACAGGGCTCAGAGGACAACAATTTAAGGATAGGATGACTTGCAAATGTTAAAGATTAGATTATTAATTCGATCGTTTACATTTCCATATTGAATAGCCATGAACAGTCAAACATCATGGATACAAAAAGGAAGTGTTGGTAGAGGAAACTTCCTCCACCATGAAATAGACAATTTACGGTTTCCATGATTTATCCGGATTTACCAATGTTCGTACTAGAGTTGGTGTATAATGAGTCACGCCAAGAGAAAAACAGTTTAACTCGCATCACGGTTTTCGAAAGATTCCCTTTCTTTTCACTTGGCAACAGAGGACTTCTACATCAACTTTAAATTACTTCTAGCCATAGAGATTGCTGACGTTTATCGTTCGCACACTACGTCACGTATACGTATACGCAAAATGTTTTCATCGGGAAAAAAAACTTCATAGCGGAAAATTTTCCCGATGAAAACAAATCACTGACACAATCATACTTTAGCAATCTCTATAAATAAAAATAGCGGCTGTAGTAGGGGAAATGACGGCTTCGGCATGACAGACTATTTTCGGCAACCCAAATTGAAACACTATTTTCACTGGATTTTCTTACGAAAACACTTCGCTGAATGCATGCAAACGATTCTTTATGCTTTCAGCTTCAATTTGACTATACTTTTACCACTGAGAAAAAGCAATCTAGCAGGGTTTTCTTGAAATGAAACACACGCACTATAAATTGTAGCTGATTTCGAGTTGCCGATAATAGAACAGCAGATTTACATGCAGTTCAAATGGAACGGTTACCGAAGAAAAACTGGTTGCCGACAATACTCGCTCTCACTAGAGAAGATTGGAGCTTTGTAAAAGCGTTTCAAAACAGATTTTGACAATTCTTTCGACTGAAATTGTTTGAGCAGCTGGCAGCAAAAGATTGTAAACAAACCAATACTGCATATGTGTGCGTTCCATAGAGAAAAAGGCTATAGAAATAAGGTC